TGGAGGGCTCAACACAGGGACAATAGTGGCCCTTTTCCTGAAGCCACACAACAGTTTCTCACTCTATGTCTCTGGTGCCCTCCAAGCTTGACTGTAACCCCTCAAGAGTTTTTAACAAAAGATGATTGTGAGCTAAGGCTGGCCGCCTGCCTGTGAAAGAGCCAGGGGTGGTTTGAGAGTCAGGTAGGGCGGAGTCTCAGGAAGTCATCAGGGTAGGGCAAGTAGAATTCACCAGGCTAATGTAGACTCAGATTTGGCCACGTTGGGGGAAAGCTCAACACAGGAAAGATGGTGTCTGCCTGCCAGCTGCATTAAAGAAGGACTCAACACAAGGACAATGGTGGTCATCCCTCCAGCCCCTCCGCTGGAGCCCTTCAATTCAGTTTCTCTCCATATGCCTCTGGAGACTCGGAGGTGCTGTCCCTCTGCCAGAGCCCAGGGTGAGTGACTGGGAGCATGTTTGTCTGCATTCCCCTTAAGAAAATTCCTGGGTTTCTAGCAGCCTTCCATCTCACCTGGAGAGTTGGAATCACCGCTGATTTTCACAATCAGATGATTTCTGGGGTCTTCTTCCTGGTACTAGTATTATGGGCTGGGGGGCCCAGTATAGGCTTGAGACCCTTTACTCCTTAAGGGGGAACCTCTGCAGCTGAGATATTCCTTTCTGTTCTCAGCTGACACATGTGGGTGTGGGGCCAGCCCATTTTGCATTTTTGCCTCTCCTATCAGTCTTGAAGTATCTTCTATTTTACGTCTTTAGTGGTAGAGTTTTTATTCAGCTTGTCTTCAGATGGTTCTCCAGGTTCAGTGTTCTACAGTTTAGTTCTAACTTTGATGTGGTCATGGGAGGAGGTGAGTACAGCTCTAACTACTCCACCTTTTGTACCAAAACCTTTTGGTGGCACATCTTCACTTTCTCCTTTTTAAATACCATCAATCTAAAAGAATACCTAATAAGAAATATAAAAATCTATCAATTTTATAAATGAAAGTATTAACATTTTGGAATGTAAAACACATTTTATTATTTTTGTGGTTACTGTTTTGCAGTTTTCAGCAATTCCTTAGTAATTGCTATAAAAAGCATAAGTGTATTTTCTCATTTGATGATTTTTCTTTGTCTCATTTTTTTTAAAACTTTACCACTGGTGCTATTTTAATTTCCAGTGGGGATTTCCATATTATCGGAGAGGCATTTACTACTTTCCCATGTTTACCAATATGTAAACAGAAATTGTTTCAAGTTCCCTGGATTTTTATTTTAAAATGGTAAATTTTATGTAATGCAAATTTCACTTTATTTTTATTCATTTATTTATTTATTTTTAGAGAGAGAAGAAGGGAGGGAGAAAAAGAGGGAAAGAAACATTGATGTGATGTCTGAGAGATACATTACTCGGTTTCCTCTTACATGCCACCAAGCAGGGACCTGGCCCACAACCCAGTATGTGTCCTGACTGGGAATCAAACCAGCTACCTTTCAGCTAGCAGACTGGCACTCAATCCACTGAGCCATTCCAGCCAGGGCCAAGTTTCACTTTAATAAAAATGCCAAACAAACTTTGACCTCCAAATTATGTGATGTGTATAATAAACACTATCATAATTAGCCTTTTCCACCAAAATGATGATGAGTTTTAGTGGGAAGAGCTAATGGAGTAGTTTTGTGTTGAAGAGTTTAATTGAAATCTTAAACATTTAAAAATCAGAGAAAAGAAGATACACGTTTTTGGTGAATTTATAGTAGTTTTTAAATATACAAATCTGTATTGTCACTCTCTGAAAAGAAATGAAGAAACAGGAAAGCGAAGTCAGGTTGAGAGTTAAATTAAGACACAAGGTGGAATTTCAAAAAGATGCCATGTATTTGGTAACTGTTTTTTATTTGATTTGTTTCTCCTGAGTCCCCAAGATGGAGTGGATGATTTCAAAGAATCATAAATATCCAGGAAAATAATTATGGATGCCGAATGTCCAGCTGTACTTACCTAGGACAGACTCAGCCATGATAACCTATGACTGAAACATGAAAGTATGAAAATGACAACAGTCATGGTGTTAAGGAAGATCGCTCTAGGTTGTTCAAGGCACTCTATGCCTGATGTGTTAACACATGTTCATACCACAGGTAACATGGAAATGCCCGTGGGAATGATCAGAAAGCATCCACAATTTTCCAAGACACAGAAAAGGAAAATAGCCACTAGCTGAAATTATGGTTAAAGGGTAAATTCAAGATGAGTAATGAGAAAACACTATCTGATCTTCCTTGACCTATTGCAATAATATTTAAAGTGTTCTTCCAGCATTCACCTTATCCTTCTATAGCTAGTGGGTTGGCTAAAAGTTCATTCATTTTATTTCCCGTAAAATGACTCTAGTAGCACTTAGTTGTCTTTAACTGCATTTGAAATAATTTTGTTAGGTTCTATTGTGACAGCTGTCATATCAGTGTGCATTAAAAAAACTTATCAAAATTGGTGAATTTTTGTGTAGCCATTTTAATATTGAAGATGAAAGAAAATAAGCAACATTTTTGGTATATTATGCCTTATTATTTCAAGAAAGGTAAAAATGCAGCTAAAACACACAAAAGAGATTTGTGCAGTGTATGGAGAAAGTGCTGTGATTGATCAAATGTATCAAAAGTGGTTTGGGAAGTTCCATGCTAGAGAATTCTTGCTGGATGATGCTCTAGCAAGAGGGGAAGTCGATAGCGATCAAATCCAGACGTGGAGATCGATCAACATTCTATCACATGGGAAATAGCCATCATACTCAAAACATTCAAATAAATAAAGTTACTGATGAAAATGAAAAGTGTGTCTTTTACAGAAAAAATATGGATTTTGGGGCCAACACAATATTTCTAAACATAACAGAGTGATTCCATTACATTTAAAACAAATCATGTCAGCCTTCAACTAAAACTCTCTATGATTTCCTATATATCTCAGAGTGAAAAAAAGCAAAAAAACTTTAAATCGTCTATAAGATAATTACTGTGGCCCACTTTACTCCTTTGAGCTAATTTATTTTCTCATTCCACTTAGGACACTGATTTCTCTTTTGTTTCTCACCTATTGCTGGCATGCTTCTACCTCAGCTTTTGAGGCTCCCTGTTGCCTTACCTGACTGATTCTTTTTTTTTAAAATATTTTATTTATTTATTTTTCGAGAGAGGGGAAGGAAAGGAGAAAGAGTGGGAGAGAAATATCAATGTATGGTTGCCTCTCATGCGTCCTCTGCTGGGAACTGGCCTGCAACCCAGGCATGTGCCCTGACTGGGAATCGAACCGCGATACTCTGGTTCGCAGGCCCGCGCTCAATCCACTGAGCTATGCTAGCCAGGGCCACCTGACTGATTCTTACCCCAGAAATTTGCAGGCCTTTCACCTATTTCAAGTCTCTGCAAAAATATTATTTCTTAATGTGACCAACTCTACCTTATTTAAAATTAGCAACCTTCCTACCTGTACATTTTTAATCTCCCTTATCCTCCATATATTTTCATACCTTATCATAGTCTAATTAACTCTACTGTTTACTTACTATCTTTCTTTTATACCATCTGCTTTCCTCCATAGTATGTAGGCTCTAAAGGGGCAGAGAGTTTTATTTTATACCGATATGTCTCATAAAATAGTAGCAGCATTAATGTAAGTGTTCAAAAATATTTTTGTCATTGTTGAAAAAATTATTTCAAGACAAGGAGCAAAATGTTAATACAGATTGTTTGGCAAAAATTGTCAAGGATCTCCATGAATCACTGCTGTTTGGAAAATAGTTCTAATTGCTATTTCACTAGAATCATAATTATCAGCACCTCCTAAATGAATATTTTTCAGGCCCCAGGTATTTGGATTTCTAAAATTCTGTCTTCTTTCTTCATTCTTACATGTGCTTCATTTACTGTTTTCTTCAAAAATTTTACTACCTTCTTTTCTATAAACTTTCTAATACACCAACTGAAGGAAAATGACCAAATAAGTTTTTATATCCTACTTTTTACAAGACATTGTGCAAGAGAAATATCTCTTTAGTTTTGTTTCATTTAGAATAAGTAATACATAGCTTGCGACACTTGATGAATCCACAATATAATTCCTGATGCATCCCTTGTAAATGCTGGCTCCCCTAATCTGAGGACTTTCTGCATGCTATATTTAGCATGCTTGATTTAGCCAAGCTATTTTTCCAAATGTAGAAAAGTATTAGTAGAATAATATAATACTATTGTACTGATTTGGAATTTTTGGACATTCTCTGAAACAAACTTCTCATTTCCTTCCTCATTTAGGATGTTTGAGCACAAATTGTTACCTAGCTTCCTAACATCACAGGAAGACTAAAGTCTTCCTAAAGACTTTCAGTACTAATTCCAAAAGTCTTTACTTCCAGTAAAATGTGTTCATGATCGTACTGTACCTGATATGCTATAAAATGTTAAATTGAGCCCACATACTGTAAGAAGAAAGAATATTGAGTTGACAACCAAAAAGCACTTTTAAAGTGAATTCTCTCACCAAGCTGCTATGCGACTTTAGAGCCATTTCTCACCTAGCTCAATCCCCCTTTTTGTAAAATGAAAGAGTGAATCAGTTAGATACCCTCAAAAGCACTCTTTTGTGCTGACATTCTATGTATAAGGTGCTTTTATACTATAGCCTTCAAGAAAGGAAGAGGTTGGTCCTACAGTCTCTTCTGCTTTCTCAAAGAGACAGATGTTAAATTTAATCTAAGTGACTCTGAATGTGTGATGGGTAAGAAGTATGTAACATCTCCCTCTGAGAGGGAGATGATTTCCAGAGTCTGGAGGAATCTCCCTGCAATTGCAAAGTGCTGCCTTCTTTACACAGTTAAACAGGAAGTACAAACAGATGAACACAGGAGATCTGAGAGGCGCAGCCCCTTCGGTAATTGTTCAGACACAGCCCGCCCAAATAGAAAACACATGCTATTTCCCTTTTGCCTGACCAATTTGGCATTCAGAGTACAAATTCACGGCAGAGGGGTTGGGCCTCGCCGGGCAGGAACCAGAGTCAGAGGCTTCCCTGCTACTTGCTGGGAGAGGACACCAGGACTGCCTGTCAGTGCCTTGATTCCCGAACTGTCTCATAGAAGCCGGGCAGCGCAGAGCAATCCAACCACAGCTCACCCCCACCTCTGCGGGAATCCCGATGCAGGCCAAGTACAGCAGCACGAGGAACATGCTGGATGCTGATGGGGACACCACCATGAGCCTGCACTCTCAAGCCTCTACTACATCTTATCGTCCAGAGCGTGGGCACACAGGTACTCTGTCCCCCGGAGTCCCAGTTGGCCAGATCCTTGAGAAATGCATGCGATAAGCTGCCTTTCTGAGGAATGTACACTATAGAGGAAAGGCAGAGGAATGTTCTCTTGGTGTACAATTAATGCGAACTCTTCACTTTCCACCTCTTGCATGTGACCTTCTATATGAACATCTCAAGAATTAAATTCAGTATATAAACAGATGTTTGGTTTTCTAAGGTTCTCTTGCTGGCAAAGTGCTTTCCAGTCGAGGGTGTGTTGTTTTTACCTTACCAGTTAGGTAGAGCATAGAGAGGTGAGAGAGCATGTCCAAGTAAAGCACTGTGCCTTCCCCTCCCTGCCATCCCATTGAAGGGATGAAGTCCAGTGCTGTTTTATTCACCATCTGTGATCTAATCTGGACACTTAGATGATAAAGGCCACCTCCTTGTTAGTTTTGCACTCATAGCTTTGGAGTGAGGTTTCCAAGCAGATACATTAAACTTGGTATTTTGTAATAATTGTTCTGCATCATGAAGTTGTGAGGACTTGGGAGAGTCATATCAGCATGAGCTGTTTGGCTTTATCATCTGTGAAATGAGAGGAAGATGCCTTCCTCTCCTTTCAAGAAAGTGAATGCCTTCTAAGGTCACTTCAGCTCTGACAGTCAGGAATCCAGGGATTTGTATGGTGGCCTCAGGCACAAATACACCCCATTGCCTCTTCCCTTTTGTTCTACCGAGTTCTAGAGTGTTACTGAGATAATTGAATTAAATTATAAAAGTATTTAACTTCAGTTACATTTAGCTTTCATCTTTTGCTTTTATTTCCAATGATCTACTCTGTGACATATTAATAAAATATATGTTTCAGTCTATAGAAGAGATAATTCACATGCATAGAGAAGGATCTTATTTCCCGGGCAACTCAGCCTGAGGTAAAAATGTGTCCTGAGGTCCAATGGAAGACCTCTCACTGCCACACAGATAGGATTAGGTTCTGGTACCAGGTAAGTCACTTACTGAAAAATTGTGTGATATTGGACATGTTACTTAAGCATTATGGGCCCTCAGTTTCTTCATTTGTAGAATACTAATGATGATAAACATACACATAGTGATTAACATGGGCCTGATATTGCTTTAAGTGTTTTATACAGATTATTTCATATTACATAGAAGCAACAAATTCTCACATATAGGATGACTGTGAGTACTTAGGGTAATAAGCTATGTAAAGTCCTCAGTACATTGCAGACACACCAAAAATGTGAGTTTCTTTTCAATAACCCATTCCCTTGGGGATTCCTAAGGGGTTCTGTTTATATTTTTGTGTCAGTCTGTATCTGAGAAATCCTCACTGACTGTCTGTATCTTAACATGTCCTTTCTCTTTTAACCATATCCTGCTTTTCTTCACCTTTGTGAATCTGCACACACATTTTTTTCGTGTTGTCTCCCATTTTTCTTTAGCTTTAGGTTTTATTCCTTACTCCTACTAAACCTTTCCATTTAACTTCTATTTATTGCATGATCTGCTGCCTGAGAATCACTGATGAGAGATGCGAGTTTTTAGTTTTTTCCCTAAACTCTCTCGTAGGCTGTGAGGGGATACTGGGGAATTTCCAGCCTCCTTGACGTGAACCAAAGTGACAATGTTGGAACGTCAGTTTCTGCTGTCATTATATATGTGTCATAGGATATGATAGTTTTCCTCCAACAAATCCTGTGAAGAGTTGGAGTTTAGGGCTGTAGTTTTAGGTGGTTTGTGTATAACTTCACATTTCACCTTTGATGAGAGCCAGGAACTCTCACAAGGATTAGTGATCAGCATGATGAGGAACAGGGTGTACAAGTAAATTCCGCTGAGGATTGAGGGTGGAGAGGGAAGTGGAGTGGAATAAAACATCTGGCAACATTTTTGTAAGAAGTGGAAGCTGAAACAGTAGGAGTAGAGGTTACAAAGCAGTGTCTTCCAGGAAAACATGGCATATGAAAATACTAGGTTGGCCAAAAAGTCCGTGTTTTTTTTCTGTAAAGTAAAATGCACATTTTTCATTTTCACCAATAACTTTATTGATTTGGATGTTTTGAGTATGCCGGCTATCTCCCATGTGATAGAATGTTTGTTGATCTCAATTAATGTCTCAATTTGATCGCTATCGACTCCAACTGGTCTACCTGACCATGGAGCATCATCCAGCAAGAAGTCTGTAGCACGGAACTTTGCAAACCACTTTCCATGCAGTACATCAGTCACAGCTCCTTCTCCATACACAGCACACATCCTTTTTTTTTGGGGACATTTCAGTTGCGTTTTTACATTTCTTGAAATAAAAAAGCATAATATGCCAAAAATGTTGCTTGTTTCTTCCATCTTCAATATTAAAATGGTTACATAAAAAATTCACCAATTTCGATAAGCTTGGTTTTAAATGCATACTGATATGACACCTTTCATAATACAATCTAACAAAATTATTTCAAATAAAGTTAAAGACAACTAAGTGCTGCTAGAGCCATCTTATAAAAAAAACAAATAAACTTTTTGGCCAGCAATAGTTATCTTATCCTCCATGTATGATAACTTGTTTTTGTCTTGTGATAATGCAATTATTTAGAGCACTGTCACTGTAGAAGTCTGTTTCTTAGAAAATAGATCTGAAATACTTTTGTTGTTAAAAAGACAGAGTAAAAAATCTCTGGGATTTTTTTCCCTTTTTTGGCAATACAGAGGATTCAGATTCAACATAATGCTGTGGGACAGTTACAACTATAACCTTTTAGAATTAATAAAAATAAGTGAAATACATTTATTTATTTTCTAGATTTCAATTTTTTAATATAAAGTAGTTTGCATTTAAAAATATGGCTAAATGATTAGGAAGATAGAAAGTGAAAATACAAGTGAATACCCTTCTGCCTTCTTTCCAAAAGCTTATGCTGGGGTCATGCTATCCCAGACCTGTTACAAAGCACTGAGGGTATAATGCCAAACATGATATGACCCCTGCCAATGGGGAAACTTAAATTCTAATACAGTTCCCAGCTCAGCAATAAGTGTGATCATTGCCATGATGAAAGCATTCACGTGGACCAATGGAGAACTTGCTCACTTCTGTGTGGCAGGGGAAGAGGGTATCAGGGAAATTTTGAGAGAGGGGGTAACCATTCAGTTGAGTTGACTTTGAGGTGTTCCTCATGATATGGAAGCAGAAATGGGAAGGTTTAAGGAGCTGGGTGCCCTCTGGGAAGACACACAAGAGAAAACCAAGGAGGTCTTCATTAACTTTGTGTTTCAGAGAAGTATAAGCAATATGTGATGGCTGAGGTGTAGAGTTGGAGAGGGGGAAGCTTGGTAACAGGGTAAGTCTAGAAAGTTAAAGAATACCTTTTATGTCACACTGAGGTATTCTGATTCTATCCAGCAGGTAAAATGAGTTAACTGAAGGATCTACACCGGTAGTAATATAATGCATTTTGAGTTTTTAGAAGACCATCCAGGCTACAATGAGGAGGATGGGTTGCAGAAGTACAAAACTGAATGAACTAATACAGATTTTGCACTAGGACAAGCATGGTATTAGAAGAACCTGACCTGAGGTAGTATTGGAATAGAAGAAAAAATCAAATATGAAAGATGAGAGGAGGAAGAATTTAAAGAATTGGTGACTGGGTACAAGGGGGAAGAGAAGGAAATGGAGAGCAGAGGCTGACTATGTTCCAGCTTATACTATGTAGATGGTGCTGCCATTCACTGAGATGGAAACTACAGGCAGAATAGGAAAGACGAATTCAGTGTGAGTGTGAGATGCCAGTAAGAGAAGGGACGCATATGGTCAGTGTTGCCCAAAGACACTTGTGTATGTAGTATGTGGGTTGAAGGCAAGGATTCTGAGCTACATATTTATATGAAAATTGTCAGTATTAGGTAAGAATTAAACTTTCTGAGAATGAGTGATGTCACTGAAGAAGGGAATGTAAAGTCAAATAGCAAAATAAAAAAGAAGAAGAAGAGTGCCAATGAAAGAATTTTAGGAAATGCAATATTGAGGGGCTAGCTGGTCAAAGGATTTCAGTAGGTCAGTGGTAGAAGTGGACCAGGAGAGGGAGGCATCTAGGCAGCCAAGAGACAATAAAACAAATGGAAAAGTCAACAGTAGTGAATAGTGAATTTTAAAAACAACAATCAATGCTGCAGAGAGTTCATGTGAGAGGAAGGCTACAAACAATTCATTGTTTAACAATAAAAAGGAAAATAGAATATCGGTCATTTTTAAGAGCATGGATTTGAAAGCAACTAATAGTTAAGAAAATAATTTGTCATTTTCTCTTTTTTATTTTTCTCCTCTGTTTTGAATAACCTAGGTATAAAGATAAAAGATAGTATGTTAGAGCTAAGGTATTATGGAGCTATGTGAGTATTTTTTAATATTATTTAAAGTCTGGGAGGTTCTAACTCAATTGTAGCTTGAAAAAATGTACAATTGAAACACTTCGCAGGGCTAATATACTGAGGAGTGAGAAAATGACATGAAACTGATGGGTCAAAATTCCTGTGGAAGATCAAAGGTAATCCTATCAAAGTGAATATGAAAACCTATTTGGATTTAATGAATAAAGATTATCGACAAATTCAAGTTTCACTTTTTATTACTTATATTAATTACAATATTTCTCAATTTTCTTGCATTTTTACCTTTATTTTCTCAGCTATAACATTAACACTTCATTGAAGATTCATGACATAAACCATATCTAATCAATTTAATAAATCTTTTAAGCATATGACTAAATATTAAGCCTTTAATGGTAGACACTGTAGAGAATCTATCTTAGGTGCTTAGAGAAGCAGAAGAAATAATCTGAATTAATAATTCTAAGAAAATGTTATGTAGTGCTATGGAATATATGTAGGAAGCCACAAAAGCAAATAGGAACAGATAGCTGTGTTTATTCATGTGCATATTTTTGAATGAGCTGACATTTGCTCTGGTCTGTAAGGCTGAGTCCAAGTTTTCCT